AATGTTGGCATAAGGTGCCGAGGACGAACATTTGAGTATATACGGAACATTTATTAATTTTTTCTGAGAAGTGAGTCTCATGAACGACAATTCACCACAATTTTGTTAAAATTAATGTTGAAATGAAGAATATATTTCAGTCTAATGTTAGTGCAAAATATCATTAGGCCTTTGTAATCACCGCACGACGCGCGACTAACATGGCAACAGATGTGTATAAGAGACAGGATGTATACTGTGAAATGGGAGCTGTGGTCTGGTTGCTATGGTTTTTGTGACGTTCAGCGTGTAGGGACGCACGTGCGCCTAGAATGTCGATGCCAGAGTTATAACCTTTGATGTCCCGAGATGTGCGTCCTTTTGTTAAATTACCTTGGTAGGTACAACGAAGCACTACCAATGAAATAGTTATGCCGCACCTATTGTATTTATAAACTTTAAAAATCCATTATATAGTTTGAAGTTAAGTGATGATGGTGGTAATAAAACAAAATTTAGAATCTGAAGAAAACTACTGTATATTCACTGTTCTATGCGATTCAAAAGCATTGTTGAACGTTAGGCGTTATATTTTTATTTATTATAACCAGTAAAATTTTGCCCAGGCTCAGCGTTTACTTTTGGCCGATTTCATATATATGAATATATTATGTGAAGTTTTTCGGTTTTGCATAGGTTGCAGCGTTTTGTTTTGACTTTGGTTTTTGCATCGGTGTTGTTGGTACTGTAATCTATAATGGTCTTCCTTCCTTCCTTTCTGTAAATTTATGGGTGCGAGCTATTGTTTCCTGAATTGGAGTGCATATCTACTCGTACCACAAAGTAAAACTATAATGTTTTTTCGATCATACTGACCTCGGTTCTTACGTTTGCTTTTACGTTATTGAAGAAGGTACCCTTTATTTTTAAGAACCAGTAAAAGTTTGCTCAGACTCAGTATTCTTTTTACTTTTGCCTATTTCTGGCTTAAATTGTTCTTATTTTTTCACACTTTCAAACTTAAAGATTTATCATTGTACAGCAATATAATTATACTGTACTGTATTATAAAGGTAGGGTATACTACATAGTGACACCTACTGCATATATAAGATACAGATAAGATTTGTTGGTTTATATATTTATCTTTTAAACATAAGCCACTTCAGCTTCATTTGTTCTTAATTTGTTCTTAATATTTAAGCAAATTCAGCATCGGTGTTCTTGTAAAATGTGTTTTTCTAAAAAATTGTATGTTGATATGCTTTGTAAAGAAACAATGTTGAGATGATCCCAGACGGAAACCTCTGTTTAAGTGATGTGAAAGAGACAACAGACGCCTGTTTCATCACTTAACCATATGTATACTTAAATATATGTTTTTCTATTTCTATATTAATTTTCATATTATATATACAATAAATCAAATTTTTCTCATGAAACCAATTTCCCCAGTATATATTGCTGTTTTATTGCGAATAAAATGTTTTGGAAATTTTTGAAGTCTGGTTCTTGTGTGCACTCAACGGAATGTGGAAATATTTATATTGTGACATGGTTGCTATTATACTGAATCAATTACTATTTTTAAAAAGTGCAGTTGATAATACCCTCTTAGTTACTTATATACAATAAAGCACACCTACCCTCCTGCAATTTTATTTTAAGTAGCTATATTATTTTTATTTATTATTATGATGTTTGTCATTAACTAAATTGATGGCACATAACAGTGTAGGAATATATGTAATATTCAACATTTCAAAATGATTGAAGCTCTCTAATTTATCAATATACTGGGCATCTGGCCTTCCACTTATATATGAGATGATAAAATGACCTAGTCAATTGTGAATGGGACAACATTATTTAAAATAGTTCGACAAAGGTTTGGGTAACCGAAGCTACCATGTTGGAATATATGGTCACTTTGTCGACAAGTTTGCATACCATGACTCCGATGCTTAAAAATTCACTTTCCTGTATTCTGTGACGTCTGTTAATGAATGAATACACTCCAAATTAATAGTTTTTTACTTTACTATAGAAAATTAGTGGTAATAATGATGAAGATGATAATGAGGAGGAGGCAGTGTATCTAGGTGATGACAGGCTTCTGTGCGAGATTAACTTCCTTTGCCCTTTGATTTTAAGTGCTAACCGAGGCCCGAGGCAAGCACCTACACTAAGAAGTCACAATGGACATTCAAATCTTGTGCTAATTATACTCTAGCTTTTTCTACTCTACAAACAACCTCGTATATCCTGGTACTAGAGCAACTTGCCGAGTTGTAATCGCTTTCCCCTAGACTCTCCTTTTCCTTTTTCCAAGTCCCTGGAATCTCCGACAATTTACCTTTGCACGAGCAGCATTTGTTTGAATTTAAAGAATTTTAGGTATTGATTAACGTTTTCAGTATTTAAAAAAAAATAAATCAAAGAATACACAATTGAAATGAACACAATATGTAATAAATATTTATTGCCCCAAAAACCTTTGGCTGTTTAATTCCTCTATTAAAAATTAAATAGGAAACCTTTTATAATTATCATTTTGTTAATATAAAAATAAAACAAATGAATAGTAAAAAAAAATACAAATAGGCCTAATGAAAATAAATTAAAAACAACTACGCTAAATTTGAATCAAATTTCAAATCTTGTGCTAAATATACTCTCGCTCCTTAAAGTGTAAACAACCTCGTATATCCTGATACTAGTGGAACTTGACAAGTTATAATCGCTTTCAATTAGACTCTCCTTTTCCTCTCTCCAATTCGATGGCGGCTCCGTCGTTTTACATTTACACGAACAGTATTTATTGAATTTAAACAATTTTAGGTACTCATTAACTTCTTAAGATTTTGTTTAAAATGAATCAAAAAAATTAATACACAATGGAAATGAAGACAATATTTTATTACTATAATTTTTAGAAGCTATTATTGAACCGGGCCTTCAAGACCAATTTTCTTTTTTATGGTTTTTTCAAGTTCGCTTGAAATACCTCCAATTTGAACGCAAAATATATAACGAAAAATATTTTAGCTTGTACTTTGTATGTACGATCACATAGAGCTGCTAGTAAATTCGTCCATAATTTAGGAATTCCGTAGTTGTTTACTTGGGCAAGATATGTTATACCTTTGCTTTTCTTCACCTGGGAGTATATCGGTGGGAGATGAATGCAATTTGATGTGCTCTACATGCATAATAAATCTGAGTATTGCAGGTGTTCCGAAGGTTTTACAGTATAACCAATTTCCAAAATGACTGGCCTAACAACAGGTTACTGGTTAAAATGTACATTTAAGATTTTTTTTTATAATCACAAAAATATCACAAATGTTATATTCAGTAGGCCTACGAGTACATTCATTAAAATGTGGACACTTTTAAGTTTGGTGGGTTGCATACGCAACATCACACCACCCCAACCACTTGATATTATCTGGAAAACTCTACATTTTACTTGCCTATTAATATACTGTAGTAATTTATACTTAATAATGAGACAGGCCCACCATCTTCTAAATTTTCCAGTACTGTTTTTTTTTTTTAGTTTTCCCATTTCCAACGCTGTTTGAATTTAACGGACCATGTAAATATTGATGTGTTCAGCATGCCGCATTAAAACATTTTATATATGTTTGCCAAGATAAAAAAAAATACATAGGCCCATTAGCAACAAGTAAACAATTTGAGGCAGAAATATAGCATTATTCCCTTCTTTAAATCCTCGAAATAGCTGTAGTAGTCCCAATCTGGATGATTGCTGCCCTCCTGTAGTAAATTATTGTTCAACTTCGTGACTTTGCACTCTAACGTGCTAAATAAATACAATTTCACACTGCAGGCTGAAAGCAATTATACTATTTCATCACGTGATGAGAACAGATAATTATACAACTTATGAATATTGCTAATGCAGCTTATATCAATCCATACTTCAACTCAATTCACAACACGACATAACCACACACGAACGTATAACGAAGTAGTCATTAACCGTGATTATGGAGTATCTCCCTATTAGGCTGTGAGTATTACAGAATGTGATAATATATTAATATATAAAAATATATAATTATATTCCAAAATGGTACATTTTGGATATGTTGTGCACGCACTAAATGTATACTTGCAACTTTTTTAATGAGCACAGTGTTACTTATGATTATTATGGCCGGCCGTATTAATTATAATTGTATAATTAGTTTTGCGTACTTGAAAATCAATATTTATATTTCTGCAAAATAGTGTAACGTCTAAATAAATTATTCTCAAGATTTTTATGTCAATAGTAATCTCCACGACAACAATGACGATGACGAAAATGATGATGATGACAATGATTATGAAATATGATCATGAAATTTATGACAACTTTTAATAATTAGGTCGATAATTTGATTATTGTTCTTACAGGAACAAGTTAGTGCAGGCTATCATTAGTAGAGACTGGCAAGCAGTAAAAAAGATCTGTGAAACTGAGGAACATCTTATAAACACGTATTATGATGATGATAAGGTATGTAATTAGCTTTGATATATTAA